TAGTCCAACACGCATAAAGGCCATTCAAACCGCATACCTAGTCAAGCACTTCGACTCACCCACCGACATGGGTACATTCAACAGGGACTGCTCCCGAAAATGACCTTTTGATTGGGGTCAAAGTCGAGGTTCCTGAACGGGACTTCATCCACAGCACACCCCTTCAAATCGACTCAGGCCTATCTCCAAATATTTCGGCAAACGTCAACCTGTCTACCTTATGCTTCCTTAATAACCACGGCCTTTAATAGCCTCCTCCTGCCTAAACGCCGAGGATGTCATGACTTCAATATGTGCGTGAGTCATCCTGTCTAATCCTTTCTCTGGGTTGACACAACTGATCTCATTTGGTTCGCTGCCGTATTAGCTGATATGAGCAGCCTTTCTGACGGGTTTTCTTTTCCTCCCTCCGCGAAACGCTCATCACTCCGCCCAGCACGTCCATTTTCATTTCGCTTGCTTATGCACTCCCCAGTGAATCGCAATACACTGCTTGCAAATATCGACGCGGCTCCATCTTCTCAACCGGAAATTGCGGGTCAGCCATTAATTATGCAATTTACTCCATTTTGCTCAAAAAAGAGTGCTTCAGTTTTCACCTTTATCCTGCTTATGCTGGCAAAGAAAAAAATGCTTACTTCAACTTAATGGTTCCTGTCAAACACGGGCAGGGTTGCACACAAAGAGCTCTTGGCCGACCTCACGACATTTGGAGTTACATCGCGCCTGCAATAAAGACATCATCCAAAGTACTTTGGTAGCAATGGGTTGAATGCACTTACAGATGCTAACCACATCGTCACATTGGGTACGATATACGCCATTGCATAACACTTTCAAACGAAACCACCACAGGAAAGGAACAAACGTGTTATTCAAATTACGATTGGTGGTGGTTTGGTGGCAAAACGCAAAGCCACCTGGTTATCACACTTACAACAACCTACTTCAAACCACTCACCCGAACACAATAAACATAAATTGCGTCTGGCTACACTGCACTCACCATCTGTGATCCCTAAATTCACCCACAAATAATCATGGACTTACTGGAGCGTAAACTATGTAGCAATTTTGAAACATCCACGCGATAACATGACTAGAATAAGGGCATGACAATGTGCCGCAGTACACGCTTTTCACTTGCAGTCCTTGACAATCAGCTGATTTTAGAATGAATGTAAATTACACTCTGGTGTCTGTGTCTTGGGTATTTGCAGACACAGTGTTCGTAATCTGCTGTGGAATGGAATTCAGTCAAAAGTGGCTAAGCACTCCCACATTACTATTAAATCGTTTTTAAGGCCTTTCACTAGGCTTACACACACTAGCACAAACACGTTTGAGCATTTCGCTATTAGTTGGGGCACCATCCAACTCCAGACAGAAGCAGCTGGCCTTGGAATGTGGTCAAAACACATCACAGAGCAAGGATGATTACAAAATTGTGTCCGCCCTGTCTGGACATTTATTTTGTATTAATAAAATAACTGCAATAAAAGTTTAGCAAAAGAAAGTGTCGCTAAAGAGACAGCTTTGTTCCAAACAGTAGTGCTAGGTGTAAAAAAGGCAGTAAAGCGACGAGGGCCAAGTTTCGGATTGTAAGTTGCACCAAGAGTGTCATTGTTGTTGATTGGGAGGGAGTTTGAACACCGTTGGCTCAGGAGGAGGACCTGTTCGATAAGGCCTAGAGTGAAGATGCAGTGATTGTCTGCAAAAGTACTTCTTGAATTAACAACAAAAACAACTTTTTAAATTGCTCGAAAAAGTACAGGACAGAAACGCAATGTCTTGTAAACACGTAAAGTTAATAAGTGCATTTGATAATGTTGTAGTCAGGGCCAAAATTGTAAGTTAATTAGCGGGCGACACTCTAGCCCTCATTATTCATTAACACTCGTCTTACCAGATAGTAAGGAAGGCGGAAAAAGGCGACAAGACAGGGCGGACACAATTTTGTACTCACCCTTGCTCTGTGATGTGTTTTGTTATGTCTGCAGTTGCGTGCCAGCAAGACATTGTAGTATAAACAAGGGACCACTGGAGGCTAAGTGGTGTAGAGACGGAAGAATGCTTTAATTGTTTTGCGTAACCCCTTCAATGAAGGAATAGATGCAGCCGCTAACCTTGTAATCGATAGCCCTACGGAGGGGGACCCATTCGGTTGTGTGCTGCTGACAAATCGGTTCTCGTTTGTTAACTAATGATGTAATCGACTTGCAACTCAGGTAGGACTAAAAGGTTCATAATGAGTAGCTGGATTATTTTCTATCCTATTAACATGTCTAAAGCACATATTGCCAATTTACTGCATGCCATTTTGTGATAACGCATTTCTCTTATTTCGTGCGCGTGGTCTGTCCTGAGACCCAGTAGAGAATGTCGGACTTAAGAATCTGGACTGGAGCCAGATATGCGAGACATTGTGGTGTAATTGGTGATGTCTCCAACGACAATGATTGTCTCAACGGCGCCGCGTTGGTCGACATCAAACATCACCCTCCAATCTGAGAGCGACTTAGTAAGCCGTTTGTGGGCAGTGATATTTCAGGATATGTTTTCCAATTCGCAAATCCAAATGCTGATTACTTTATTCTGACCATCGGTAAGCTATGC